ATCCGGGGAGAAAACTGTTGCCATTATACTGTAACATAAAGCAGGGTTAAACGTCACGTATTTATGACTTAGATTTACCAGAAATCTTCAAATATTTCTGTTATTTGGAAATAAATAAAAAACAATGCAACCATGCATGCAGTTCACTTATTTTGTACATAAATTTTAGGGGGGGGTGTCATTCACATGGCTTCTCCATAAAAATCATCATCACTCCCCAAGCCATAAATTATGAGCGGTACCTTAACACAGTGGGGTCTCATACAATGCAAACCGGATATAGTGTGCTGTACGTTCGTGCTTTGGTTGATAGAAACGTTGTTTTTTGGGTTACTATGAGTATAGTTCAAGTACTAAAATGAGCGAAACACTTCTTCTTACTCTAATAACCTATAACTCACTGCTAATTTGAATAATGACCCTCTACATTCTTTCAAATATCAAAAGCGCATCGCCGATTTTGCTCCTTCGAAGAAAACATCAGAAATAAAGCCACATTGTGCCTTAATTTCTCAGTTTCTTGGTATAAATTGACAACATATGAAATATGTGATAAATAAGCTTTCAAATGGTGTGAAATATTCCTAACATAGAGTATTCGTTTCTTTACACGAGAGTTAAACGTTACCCACCTATGCATCATCACTGTACAAGTTGATAGCCGCTAATACAGTTGGTTGATAGCGCTTTCAAAATAAATCACTGTACGGTTTCTAGTTAGTTCATGTTATCATTTCTAAATAATTGAAGTTCCTAATTATATATTTTGCATCATTTTCTCTTACTTCCAAATTTAACACAGGTGAACTAAATGAACACTTCAATTTGCTATATTCTGATTTTTGGACAAATTCTTTCAACATTATCATAGACCACTGTATTATCAATCAACCATCCAGTGAATTAAAGTACAAAATCTAATATCTTATCTTATTTTTTTTAAGTTTTCCTTCAAACCCAAAATTTCAAACTGAAGTATTCAGTCCCCTTAAGAAAAAGTCTAAATGTGATATGAAGGAGGGTGTGTTCGGCCAGATGCAAGCATGAGTTAACAGAGGAGCTAGATTGGAAGACAAAAACATTTTCCTCGCATGAAGCTAGCACTCGAACCTCGTCGACAATTGTTATTCCTGCACGTGGGAGTTTTAATGGAGGTTCTGTGAAAGAAATGATAGAATTGCTTCCACTAGTCTAAGATAACTTAAAGGACGTCGGGCATGATTATCTGTTTCTTAACTTTACACGATTGGTTGCTTCAAATTCTTTTCCCTCGAACAATATTGCGTTCATGCTGTTTTCTGAAGTGGTATCGTGGTATTCACTCCACAACACGGTACTGATGAGATAAAGTGAGGTAACAAAGTGTTTTTGGAGAATTGGGCTGAAAAACACCGGCACAATGACAGAGGGAAAAGTCCCTAGTGGTGTGTATGTTCCTAATGATTCCAAAATACACTTTGCAGTTCCTGATAGGACTGTTCTGGACAGAATGAAAGGTCCTCTTGAAGACAACCAACTTGTACCTTCTTGCAAATGCAGGACAGGATTGCTAAAACTGACCCAAAACAGGTTAACACTCACAAAATGTGTATTAATGGAAACAAAACCAATGTCTGTACGTGTGGAAAGTTAGGGGACGTTGATTTATATGGGGTTTAGGAGCATCCGACTCTCATCGGAAAATGTTAAGCATCACACGAAGCTCGTATTTTGGAAAGTTGTGAAGAACTTTTTGAAAGTTTGGAATTTCGTGAATTAGAACAGACGAACAAAAAAGAGTAGTTCAAGTCATTGGGTCATGATGTCAACAAAATTTGCAGTGGTCACGTTAAACAGTTGAGACAACTCAGAGTTGGAGAAACTTCTGCACATGACAAATTTCTGAAAGCTGTAACTTGTGATTGGAGACATTCCAAATATGCTTTCGTAATAAGTTCTCTCAAAACAAGATATACCAGTACAATACATACATACACTGAATGTGTCCAAATATATCAATAAAGTGCACCTTTGATTAAGCTCTCAGGACGTTATTCAGCTATGAGCTATATTCCATACAGAGAAACAAACAGTTTCAGCTATAATCCAGTACAGTGATGCTGCATTGTTGCCAGTGAATTCATTGATATCGTCATATAACTAACAACTTTGAAACATGCAAATTCACATATACATTGTAAAATCTATTACGAATAGAATACTGGTAGCTCTTTAGGCTAACATGATGGTATCTGTGAGTAAAAACGAAAGCGCACAAGTTTGTCGAATTTGGCCCGATGCGCAAGAGGTGAAATAAATTGTGTTTTCATTAACATACAAATATCTCGCTAATAATTACTGTAACTGTTATATCCAAGTTATCTAATGTTGTAGCGCAGCCTATTTGCGTGTAAAATTATACTGTACTTTGTCTTTAAATACATATTTTTGATCGAACATACCTGTTCAGACACATATCTATGAACCAAAGCATGAGCGTAAAGCGCACTATATCCGGTTTGCACTGTATGGGATCATACACTGTGCTTAATTCCTCCAAAATGTCACATATGAAACCATTCAAACCCACAAAACGTAACGCATTTGGTAGAATATTTGGCACTTTTGGAGCCACTTATAAAAATACTCCCACTTGTAAAATGTTACATGAAACCAACAGAAATAAAAGTATATTTGGCACATTTAGAGCACATTGTTTTGCTTGGAAATCAAGGGCAGATAATGCAAAGGGAGCTAACTCTGGATGACCTGATATATTGCAGAATCTGAACCACATCGCGATAATCGTATCGCGAGATACTGTACCGGTATATACCGGTTTACCGGTAATATTGCACAGCCCTACATTTTACTGTAGGTAGTCAAAAACTGTCTCTGCTATAGTCAACTCGAAGGATGTCAACTCTTGCAGAAATTACATATTTGGGTTGATAGTGATGGATCGTCAAGTTATCATTAAATTGGGAACGAAGATTGGCAAGGTGAAAGATGGGTCAAGAATTTACGAATAAATTGTTGAAAAGGACTGGCCAAGTGAAAGATAGGTCAAAAAGTGATCAGTAAGTTGTGACAAAGGACTGGCTAGGTGAAAGATGGGTCAATAAGATACCAAAGAATGGTCTAAAAGATTGGCCAGGTGTAACATGGGTCAAGAGGTTGCCAATAAATTGTCACAAAGATTGGCCATGTGAAAGACATAACTTTAGGCATCCTGTCTTACAAATTCAGTGTGGAGAGGGTGTCTTTTTCTTCACAACCAATGTCTCATGGAAATCTGTAGCACTGATTCAAGATTCTTTCAGTGTTTGAGGTTACAGTCTTGACAACCTTCATTCTACCTGTATCAATTGTCAACCTACCTGTATCATGCGCTGTCAACCTACTTGTAACAAGTGTCAACATACCTGTATACGCTGTCAACCTACTTGTAACTAGTGTCAACTAGGGGTGGGTGATAATACCGGTTAACCGGTATATTGCAATTTGAACTTCGCAATGCGATATATTGCGGTGCAGTTTTCGTGAACTGGTTCACTCGATACAATCGGCAATTTCCGTGACCATGATCGGTAATTTTCGTGATGTAGTAAAGAATTCTAAGAACATTTGTATTTCCTTTATATTATTATACATTAATAGTTTTAAGAATGTTTATTGGTCAATCATGCCAGTGGCATGGTTTCAAAAGAAAGGAAAACAGTAATTTCATTACCTTAGTTAACCCATTCAACACCCGGCCTGGCAGTAGGCGCATCAAAATGATATATGATTTTAGGAACCTACCTAACATATGATTCATTTATCAAATCTATCACTTTTCACAATGTCGGAAACCGCTTATTACATTTCGAATGAAAATATATTATCGACAGAATTATAAACTATTTTTGCAATGTTATTGAATAAAAAAAGATTTTCGGACACATGCTTCGGCAACAGGTCCACATTAAAGTCAAAGAGCAAAGTAACGATGTTTTGAGGAAATAATTAAACAAACTGTATAAACTAAAGAATAATATCAACAACAGTATTCATAAAAGTTGTCGAACGTACATTATAAGTTCTATATCCATCATTTTGTGTGCGATTATGTAATGTACTGACTGACTGAGTTTGGTTTTACGCCGCTTTTAGCAATATTCCAGCAATATCACGGCAGGGGACACCAGAATTATGTAATGTAACTCAGGTGACTTCATTCACGCTCGGACACGATGCTTAATGGTAAAATATATGCTTGAAGCATTTTTGTCACAGGTCATAACCTAGCACGATACGTTCACTAAGTTTCATAATTTACGTCCAGGTGGTGATTTTGTGCGTAACAAGTTCAGAATAGCAGATTACGTAAAAAAAGAAAATATATTATGACATGTTACAAATGGAAAAAAATTGCCGCATTTTTGCTCCCTACGTGGTTTATCTGGACATTAACTTATTTAAATTGTAGTTGTATTATTTGAATAATATGATAAAAAAATAACTTTGTATTTATAAATATATTAGGATTAGACCTTTCAAATGGTGTATGACATGTAAGCTATGATGTTTTACAAGCTGATATTTTCCTTGATAAACATAGGCTTCATCTATGACCTCAAAGTCTCTGGGAACTCTGAGTGTCATGGTAGTAAAAGTCTCTGGTTGACTGGTGTTGAAAGAGCTAAAGTATGTGTTACACTTTCACAATATATTGCAATATATTGCAATACACAAACCATACAGAAAAAATTATGAGGGTGTTCAAAGAACAATGCTGTGATGTCACAGCTAAGGGAGATAATCATGTCTCTATTTAAGCATACCACTAGGGATAGCTATGACTTAGAACATTTTAATCTCTTTCATTCTGTATGTATCTGTGGTACCCACAGGACAGTTGCAACCATAATCCAGAGGGAATGTTTACGACATAATTACATATTGCAATACACAAAAACTTATCACAATATATTGCAATACGAAAATTTTGGCAATACCCAACCCTTGTGTCAACCTACCTGTATGCGCTGTCATCCATATACTTCCTCCTGTTAATCTTCCGGCAGTCAGTGAGGCGTGCGTACACCTCATCGAGACTCTCAGCCCATGTGTGGAGATTCCCAGTCCCAAACAATGCCAGTCCACCACCACCTAAAACATGTTTAACATTCAAATCTAGAGACTGCATAATTTCACTATGGAATCAGTAAATATTTCATATTCTTATGTTTGTTTTTAAATATCACAACCCCAAATAATATATAAATCTTGAATATCACTTCAAAAGTCAAAGAAGTTTAACCTTTATAGTAATTATTTGAGTGGGCAGTCACCTTTAAATGGTCATTTTTACAGACATAACAAGTCCACGCATAAGTAATCTCCAACAGTATCCGTCAGGCAACTGAGGAATGCATTTGTATTTGTATACACAATGTAATTAATTTGTTTTTTTAGAAGGTCATGTCCTTTAAAGAGAAACTATAGTTTGGCATGAAATGCATGTGGACCCGTTTTTTTGTAAATATCTCTTCATCCAATGACCCAATCGATCTCAAACTGTGCAAGTGGATGTTTTGTCAGACAACCTAATCACGTAGCAAACCGATTTATAAGGTGTCGGATTACATGAAACGTACATAGCTGACCTACATTGACGAACGTTGACCCTTATGACCCAACACTGCCGCTGTTACAGGTCATTGGCTCCCTCCCTCTGCAAGCAGTCTGCGGTCTGCTGTTTATTTTGTTGACAGTTACATAGACAGATTCTTTAATACATATGCATAAAATCGGTGATTTACAATGTGATTAGGTTGTCTGACAAAACATCCACTTGCCCAGTTTGAGATCGATTGGGTCATTGGATGAAGAGATATTTACAAAAAACGGGTCCACATGCATTTCATGCCAAACTATATATGATTTCTGATTTTTTACCCAATTCATGGCTCACAATTACAACACATTTTTCATAAATATCTAAAAAATCATTTATAATCATCATTCTTCAACTTAAGAAGAACTGTTTCATCATATAAATTAACAATATAAGCACTTTTGGACCCTCTGGCTAGCAAACACTTAAGTCATTTTCGAAAAAGAAACCACAATCCTACATGCTTGGATCTTCACTGTCAGTATGGCTGGTCAGGTGCTTGTTCGGAAATTTTTACACCTGACTGTTTTGAAATTTTAGTTTAAACTTCATTAACTTTGTATTTCGGTCAAAAGCAGCAAACTACTTTTGCTTGGATAAAGAAGTCTATCTAATGCAATTGGTTGTCTATCATGCTAGCTTTCTCACATGAAATTCAGGCTTCTGACCTCTAAATTCATGAATGGGAGAGTCTTCCTTTTACTGTTTGATCTCAAGATTTGCAGCCCCCTTTCCATGCCTTGTTTCGATTTTAAGCTCAAATATGGTTTTATCAGGTGACACTACCACTATGTTCTTGAGTTTTGGAGTGTGAATAGAAATCTCTGCCCATGTTGGCATAAGCCAATCATTAGTTTGTTTGTAGATGACTAAGGTCTGTCAAATATCCTCATATGGTCACATACTGCAACAAACTTCTTCCAGAGTTGTACCTTTCCATGTGCTACAGTATGAGAATCTTAATTACTGTGTAATCCTCAGTGATGCTGCTTGCATCCATATAACCACTGACAAGTGAAACACTGACAAATGTTAGAGTCATTGAACATTTATCATTGGAATATTTATGAGATTTCATACAGGAAACCTTCCACCTAATTGCCACATTTGGGTGATGAGTTTTGCATCATCATTGAAATAAAAGTGGCAATGCTCTAGACTGGCCTGCAGAACCTGTACAATGTATATGTACGTACACAACTGGCTACAGAAATAAACTGCCGGAGGTCGTGTGGAGCAGTCTGCGGACATCAAGTCTCGTTACTTGATGGTCATCAATACTGAGTCAAAGTGCTGTTACAAATTGAAAAATCAAAAGAAGAAAAAATCCAATGGAAGTCCCATGTTAGTATGGTTAGATCCCATGGCAAGTCAACATCAGTCCAAATCTATCAAATTATTGATAAAAAATGGCAGACAAATGATAAAAATAACTCCAAATGGTTGCCAGGGCCAGTTGATTTGATTGAACGTTTCATGGACAGTTGCAGCTTTATGTATAGTCTTTGGGCTTCCAGAGGACATTTAAAAAACCCTCAGTCATAAAGGGATGATATCCATGTTGGAAGCACTGCATCTGGTGGCTCCAGGCCACACTAAACACAACCAGCACTCATCAAACCATTGAGATGCTCATAGCCATGGACCACAAGCTACATGACCATCATTATGAAGGTGATTGCATCTGGTGGCACCTGAGGCCACACAAAACACAACCAGCACTCATCATATGAAGGTGATTGCATCTGGTGGCTCCAGACCACACAAAACACAACCAGCACTCATCAAACCATTGGGATTTCGTCTACATTTACCCACCCCACCAATTTCGACCCGCAGCAGGCAAACTCCGAATCGTTCTCGCCGACAACTACTACCCAGAACCCAAGGACAGACACAACCGATGCACCGACTGCCTCGCCACTCTATCGGAATTCCCGCTTTCTTCGGACCCGACAACTCTACATGCAAGTGTGGTGCCATCGACCACTGCGTCAACAGCAAGAAATGCGTTCTCTGGAAAAAGAAAGCGATAGACTACACACTTCAGGAGGAGCGACTTCCACTCGAGGTTCCGGAAGGAATCGTGTTCGACGGCTGTTTCTCGAACATAGAGAGCCTGTACGACGACGCCTGTGCTTTCTGGAGCATACGGTACACACTCCTCCTCGACAGATGGTGGACCATTCTCCGTGCAAGAAGAAAGGTTCTTGTCTCTTCCGGCAGCTATCGGGAAAAGCAGAGCTACCACGGGACGGAGCAATATTTGGCATACCCCTTTGTCCAACTACGGCGGGCCCAAGGATATGGAAGTGGCAGTCCCTCCGTGCAGTGAACACCGAAAAGCCGCAGACGTTCTGGAAGGAATCTACACATGCAAAAAGTTTGCTGTAGCGAAATACGAAGGGAAGAACCGACTGTTGCTGCTTCTCGATTCGCCGACTGGAGAAACGATTCCAGTCTATGGCTACAAGATACGAGAAACAATTCCAGACGCCGGTGGAATAAAACGCGTACGGTTGGTGGGTGGACCGTTTCTGTGCAGGCTAGGCAAAATCTGCCACTTGCCCATATCGAAAAGGAAAGACGATCGAGAAGTCGGAGTTGCTGCTCCCAGACCTCGGGCGGGAATAGCTTCTATTGCAAAACAACAACAACAACAACAACAACAACAACACACACACACACACACACACACACCACACACACACACACGATGAACCCACCAGAAATATGGTCCTTCCATCTTTCTGGAATCCTATTGCCGTAGTAGTTGCCCCAGATCCTAGAAAGCTATCTTCTATAGAAACCGTAGAGATAGAGCAAGACTACAACGACCTGCTAGATGAAAAAATGCAAACCATTGCGGTAGAGACTGCAATAGCCCCACTTCCAAAGGATACAACCAAACTTCTAGATGTCGAGCCTGGAAAATACATGTGCAGAAAGTTTGCCGCTGCAACATTCCGAGGGAAAGCAAGAATTGTATTGTATCTGCTGCCAGTGGGGGAAGATGGGAACCCAACATATGGATACTTTCTAGAGAAGGAAATAGAAAAACTTGGTGGGGTAGAAGCCCTGCGGAAAGCAGACAGCTTGCTTCTCTGTAGAGTAGGTCCAGAAAAGACAACACCACAAAAAAACAAAGACAGACTGGTGTCTGTAGTATACAGCTAGAAACAAATAGTCCAACCAGAGATACAGAATAGAATACCTCTCGCGTACCCAACAATATACATTCTGCTGCGAGTTGCAAACCTTTTACTGTATGTTTGCCAAAGTGGCCTAGTATACGAGCTGGTCAGTCTATTGGGCCTTCCCCATCCATTTGTCGTAGCTGTTCGTCCACGGAAGAATAATCCATGGGGTCCTCTTTCCAGTATGCAGCCTCTGCTTTGTCGAATTCCTCGAATGGGAAGCGGGGAGGATTTCCTCTCTTGTACACGATATGCATTACTGCAAAAATATGTAGTTCTATACACTATATTTCCAATTGCGTACACATATATATTTTTTTCTACAGCATGTGGTGGGAGTCCATATGTTTTGGCGTCTCGTAGACATGTTTGTGGACAGGTGTTGCGTGGTGTGCGGTGGCGAGGTTGCTGGCATGCTTCCAGGTTTTGTAGACGACATTCCATACAAACAAGGCGGTTAGGTAGGTCCACTTTTGGGTCGATTCTACCGTCTGCAGCACCTTCTCGATATCCGACCGCGTATCCTCCTCCTCCTCGACGCTTTCTATTTCCTCCCGGAGTTCGTTGTCGTCCTTGTCCAGCCTCGACAAGATGTCTACCAAGAAATTCGTTGTTCGCTGCACACCAGCCGACAACATATTTGCGGTTTGCTCCGCACGAGCCTCGAGCCTCCCCAGACGATAGTAGAAGTCCTGGCCGGTCGACGACTTTGGCGCTGTCTCGCTAGCAGACAAGATGTCCGCCGGTTCTGCAACTGGCAATACGGTTGTGCTGGAGTGCATCGTCGTCGGAGCTATCTCTTTGGCGGGCGATAGGGTCGAAGGTTCTACAGCAGGCTCTTGCCATAGTTCGTACAGCCTTGTGGACCCAATACCGAAGCGCTTTTGACCTCGCTTGCTGGGAGCACACCGCAAAGGGAGCGTATTTCTTGGATCTGGTCCGAAGACAAACCTCTTTTTGGTGGCATGGTTGTTTTTTTCCTGGGTATATATATCCCATCCTTCCCATATGTCTATATGGAAATTCCAATCCTATCCCAATCCTCTCCCGGGAAAAATGGGAGAGGATTGGGATAGGCTGTCTGAGTTTAGTTTTACGCCGCTTTTAGCAATATTCCAGCAATATCACGGCGGGGGACACCAGAAATGGGCTTAACATACAGTGCCCATGTGGGGAATCGAACCCGGGTCTTCGGCGTGACGAGCCAACGCTTTAACCACTAGGCTACCCCACCGCCCCAGGATTGGGATAGGATTGTGATTTGTACCGTATGCTCGAAAAAGCACAGGCGTCGT